AATTTGATTAAGCCCATAAATTAGGAACAATAACTGCTTTTCATATCTAGGATTCTGACTCGTCTTTTCCCACATCTGATTTATAAAGATTTCTCTGCAAACCAACGTTATTTATGGATTGAACATATTTCATATTTAATTATAGATTTTATGGATTCACTTTGAGGGAGGTAGAGTATGAATATAAAGAGAAAACATTAACACTACTTTAAATGTCACGAATTTGATAGTCTCCTTGTTCTTTTTAAGTTACTTTTGATAATGGAAGGTAAACGATTTGGTTAACATTTAGAGCAGAACAAAATATCCAATGGATGTCAGAATGTCCAGATTACACTTTCATGAAGAGCTTGTTTCCAATTTCCAACAAGCCAAGTTAGATATACTCTTAAGAAAAGCCAGACATTACTTTTTTTTCCTAATTGTCTTGTGAATATGTAACTAGTATTGTCGATGATTACTTCCAATTCTTTGAGGTATTTTCAGGAAGATTAAAATACATTTACCAGCATCTATATCAAAAGTCGTTTCCTAGATTATTTATCTTGGCCAATAACCTTGCTGCAGTTAAAACTCTGAGATCCTCTCTTTCTGTAGAATATCAACAGTATTTCTCAAGTTTGATTTTCTTTGTCTTCCCTACATTTCAAAGACTCCAATTCTCCGCAATAATCTCCTTCCAAGTGGTCCATACTAGTTCCTTCCATCTTTAGTATAGCCAAAGTCAGCTTTCTGAAACTTGATTCTTGCACTCCTTTGTTATATTTAAACAAAAAATAAATAAAACACACATGAAGGATGCTAGCTATATTTCATAGTATTTTGTTCGGTAACATTCATACAAAGGCAAATAGGGCCCTTACATCTTATTAAATGGTCAAAGCCAGACTTGTTAAATAATAGGCCAGCTCCTAGAGATGTGATTAGTAGTGGAGTCCCAGGCCAGAAGCCTTACTCTGGTGGTCTAAACAGACCAAATTCAGCCACCTGCCATCAGAAGTCCAGAGGGAAACAAGGGGTGATGAAACAAGAAGGGAATTTATTGTTCAGGATTACCACAATATGAAGAAATAGGGGCCAGAGTTCTAAGTCCTGTCTTTGGGTTACTGACAAAGCCTCCAGGAACACATAGGGAAAAGTAAAAGCAGAGGTGGGGCGAGAAGTATGCATAGTCAAACAGTCTTAGTCAAATTGTTATCTGGTTTACATTCTGTCAAGTCTGGTTCCGCAAGGTCTGCTTGCTGTAGGAGTATTGCTGTTGCCTGAAGTGTAGATTAAATTTCCATCGTGAGGTGATTGCTCCAGCTTTGGGATCAACCTATATTCCCATCATAGGGTGATATCTTGCAAGACTCACTGTTCTACAATCTTGAAAATGTCTTAGCTTTCTTTATATTAGTCAGTTTCCCAGCACTAGGATGAGATGCCTGACACCCATAACTTAAAGGAAGAGAGCTTTATTTGACTCATGGTTTCGGGGAGTTCAGTTCATGGTTGGTTGGCCTGAAGATAGACAGCACAGTGGAAGGGCTAGCAGAGGAAAGCATGGCAGCCACGAATCACAGAGAGAGAGAAAGGGAGGGTAGGAATGAGCTTAGGATAAGCATACACTCTTCCAGGTCACACCCCAGTGACTCACCTCTTCCTACTCTCACTTTCTAATAGCACACTGAGCTATGAACTCATCAATGCATTGATGTCTATAGTGCTCCCATGATCCAATCGCCTTTCCAAAACTCCATCTCTGACATTTTTTTATGTAAACTATAACACTCTGGTCTTGATATGTTCAACTTTGAAAGGGAGGATGAGAAATGTTAGACAAATTTACAGCTAACAGCTTCAAGTGATTAACATTAACATATGGAGTTGAGTAGGAGTGTGACTCAAAGTTTAAGGTAGTAAAGAAACCAGCTATAGACTTAGTGAATAGTCAGTGCTTTTAGCAAAAGCAGCCTTTAAATCCCTATTACATGGCCAGCCTGACCTTACAGTTCCCTTTCCTATTCCCTGACTTCTAGCCACACTAAGTCCTTTGACTTTCCTTTGCTTTATCTGTACTATTCTTTGACTGGGCTGCTCCTCATAGCAACGTCTTGCCCTCTTTTCAATGTCACAATGTCATACATGACATGAAGGTTTTCTCAATCCTTTCCTCTAACACCATAAAAAATAAACCTAACAATTCTTTTAACTATGATCCCATACCAGTTAGTTTGTACTAGTACGGCACACAGGGTCTCTGATGATTAATTGTCTACATGTCTGTCTCCTAGGCTTCACTGTGGCTCTTGTAGCAATGGCCTTGAGTCAGTCAGTCAGCACATTGTCTAGCAAACACTGAAGTGTTCAATTCCATGAGACAAAACTAACAGCCAGATAAGGTACTCAGCCATTTATCTATTTGTATAAATACAGTAGTCTTTTCTCAAGGCAAAAATTCAACAGATGCTTTTGCCTTTTAGAGTTATACTATACTTCCTAAGCCTCACTGAAAATAGCCTGGCAAAAGCACAGGTTGCTAGAGAGCAGAAAGGATTCAGAATCAGAACCTGGATTTAGTCTATATTAGCTCTATGAATTTGAATAAGTTATATATATTTACATTGCCCATCTCCCTAATGGGGTTGTTTTTAAGATTATGCAAAATTATGCATAGAGGAAGCTGAGAACATTTTATAATAAAAAAGCTCTAGAAATGTCAGTATTGTTATCATGATGATTTTTGTATGAATATAGTTTCACATGAAATATTTCTATTTCTGAGATTTTAGAAATTGTTTTTTGGGGGAATTTCTTATATATATATATATATATATATATATATATATATATATATATATTTTAAATGACTTTGGGTCTAAGATGGTCTAGGTTTTCTAACTTTTAAAATATCATGGAGACAAGGTCCAAAATTTCATCTCCCTCTTTATTTCTAAGACTTCTTACTTCTAACAGCACTGTCAGGTGTCCACTCCTTATCATACAAAAATAGCAGCAGTTGTATTTTAGATATTGATATATCTTTTCCTCCCTATATTTTTTTGTTTCCTTTCTGTCCATTCCAGCAGATGCTGGCTGTGTACATGGCTGACTCTGGATTGCACATGGCAGGGTGAAAAAAGCAAATGTATAAGATTTTCTGGCTTTTTAATTCTAAATGGGGATTAGCAGGCATAGGGCAAAAATAGTGAAGAAATAGTGAAGCTACTCTCTCAAACTCAAAAGACTTTCCTGGGATGGGAAGAGGAGATGAGGTAAGGAGAAAGAGAAATCCAAGCATTTCAAAAGCAGTAACCTACATCCCAAGGAGTACCCTTAGGAGGAATGGCATGACCCCATAAAATGACTGTCGCGTATCTGGAGATGTTATTTCTCTAGCTAGCAAGGAAGCTAATAATCTGTAAAATCAGATCACTAACATCCATATCATCAAGCAACACAATTATGAGAAATGTAAGAAATATCACAAGTGACCTGCTAGTATTAACTAGTTACTCAGGGGATGTTATATTCCCAAAAATCCATATTGACACCTTGGTCTTACTCATCATTCCATTTCATCACTTAATCATCCCCATGCTCCATTCTTGTCATTGGTCTGGACTGTTGAAAGGGAGAAAAACCAAAGCCAAAACCAAAACCATGGCAGACAAGAGCCTAGTCAGGGCCATCAGAGTGGCCTCTTTCTCCTGCTATTCCTCATGCTTCTCTTCCTCCTCCTTCTACCCTGTTTTTCCACCCTTTTTCCAGTCCCGTCTTCTCCTTCTTATTCTTCTTTTATAAGCTTCACTTTTTTACTAACTAAAAGTCCTAATATCCAACCTTTATGGTTCCTCTCATCCATCCTACAGAGCGACACAGTCCTCTTCCTCAGTCCCAGCAAAGCAGAGCCTGTTTAGGTGGTTCACAGCAACACCTTTGTCCATGCATCTCTCTGGCCAGATTATGCTAGGGTAGGGCAGGGATAGCACTTTCCAGACCAAGCACTTTCCAGTCTCCTTCCCTAGTGAAGGATTCTTTGGTTGTGAAGTACAATTAGAGATTTTCCTTTTGAAGAAAAGTCTTCCCTCCTGCCAGGGTTTCAGGAATGAAAAGAATATCTCAAAGAACTGAGATGTTCCCTCTGATTTTCTATCTCCCAGAGTAATAACAGCTAGTATAGCATAGGGCCTCAGAACATGTGTATGGAGAGAAGTTAGATAGATATTTGAGTTACCAACACACATTCAATTTATGATACCCTGTGGCATCTGTGAGTCCCAGATGCATCCTCCTGGCTCTGTGGCTCTCCTGGAATCTTTGGAAACATTGGGGAATTGCTTGCAGGTTTTGCTGTATGCTAATATGCATGAACCAGGCCTGGTTTTCCTTTTCAGCTGAGCATACTTGTCAGAAAATCCTCAGTTCTCTACTTAGCTGTTCCAAAGTAAATAAGTTTCTCCTTGTAAAGCTCAGTTTCCAAACTCAGACATGTGTGGCAGTCCTTCATTGGTGTATATCTGATAATACCTTATAGCTGTATATATAAATTAGGTGTTCCCATGCTCTTTCCAGGAAGAGAGGCCTGCAGTTTTGCAAAGGCATCTATGGTAGTGTCATACTTGGGAAATATTGTTTATTTTCTAGCACGGATCAGAGTCCTTAGAAAATTCAAAATTGCACAGACAAGTACTTGTAATTACAGGAAGATCAATTTGAGAACTGTTACACTTAACTTGGAAAGTCAGACATAGGTATAGTAATATATTGGGGTTGGTATAGTAATATATTGATTTTCAGGTGGTGGTAGATGTGTGGCGAGCTGAAAGTACAGTTACCTTTACCTTCTTTCTAATTTGGTCTCCAATGCTGTAGATAGACAAAGATTGTGGCTCTGGATCCTCTCAGAGAGCATAGCTGCATGGGACTGATTGCATCTGGGTCTGTTTCCCTTACTTAAACCTTGACAATGTGGTTTACTTTAAGTTGCACTACCTTTTTTTCTATATTACTTGCAGATTCATGAAGGTGGCAGGAAGCACAGTGGATGCGGTTACCTGGCAACAGTAGGTATTCATCATTTTTGTTCCTACTTATTATCAGTTGCTGTGAAATCAAATATACTTAGTAGTGATCATGGTCATGGTTGACATTTAATAAGATCCTTTATTTGTTGAGAAAAATTGAAGATTGAAAGTTGTTCTCAGCACATGCTAACTCATAGTACTATAATTTTCTTTTATTGTTTTTTCAAACACAAAGTGAGACATAACAAAACAACAAAAAACATTTGGGAGAGCTCAACTATTATGTACATTTTTAATCTGTCCTGAGTGAAGACAGTGGCACTGTAAGCGTGTATCCATTTTTCCATGGCTTTTTCTTTGGGGAATAAACTTCTTTCTTTAAGAGAAAAAATAGTTTTAATTGTTTGATGTATCATGTGAAAATAGAAACACTTCATTAGATTATAGCAGTGATGTTAATTAGTGCCAAGCAATTCATAATATGAACCACATTTTTTAAAAATAAGGAAAGAATCGAGAGAATAAAGCAGTCTGAGGAGAGAAGACAAACCCTAACACTCCAGGCAGAAGCTTCCAGTGACAAAGACCTGTTATCCCCCAAGGGTAGCTCAGCATGGAAGAATAATTGTGTGATATATAAATATTCTTTATGTATCTTTATGGATTGTGTGCCAGGACATCTAGCACTGTCCCACAATATGTCACCTATTTTATGCTGAAATCTTGATCTTCTCCAAGAAATCTGTCCCACAACATCTCAGTCATCTCCCATTTAATCTGGTGCTCATGACTCAGACATCTGTGCTCTTGTTTGAGACCCAGCTAGCCTATGGCCAGCTCTGGCCAGCTTTCTCCATTACTCTAACCCTTCCCACCTAGTTTCTGTACTCGTCTTCTCTGTTCTGTGTTTCTAATGGGTCACTCTATCCATGGTAGATTGAAGACAGGTGTGAAAGAAAGAGAAGTGAATGGAATCTTTATTAACTACATCAAAAAGATTTTTGGTTTGTGGGTAATTAATAATCTCAATCTCAATGCGGAATATTTTAGTTTATTGGGGAGTTTGTTTGTTTGTTTTTGGTTTTGGGTTTTGGGAAATTTTTGAGACAGAGTCTCACTATGTATTTTAGGCTAGCCTTAAACTCATGGTGATCCTCCCGCTTCAGCCTCCTGAGTGCTGGTATTATAGGAGTCCACCCTCATGCCCAGCTATTTTAGTTTATATTCATATTATTGGTTTATTAAGCATTTTTCAAATATTTTCAGAAATTCTTATCCTTCTTTAATTTGTATTAATAAATTATGGATTAGGTCTGAAGATCTTGTTATTCCCCTGCTTAAAACCCCACAGTGTCTTCTCCCTTTTGCACTTAGAATGAAAGCCAGACTCTGTACCCTGGTATGTAGTTTTTGGCTTCTGCTGCCTTCTGTTCTCCTTTAGTTCTACTTTTCCTAATGGTGTGTCCCAACCCACTGGGAACCTTTCAGTTCTTTGAAAGTTCACATAGCTGTGACTCTCAAGATCTTTGTATGTGCTCTTTGTATGTCACTCTTTGTATGGTTCTGTCCGTCTCATCTTTAAGGTCTTACCCTACTCATCATTTCTTCAGACATACTTTCCCTGAGGGTCTTCCTTCTTTTTCTTAGTTCGATTTTGCTTCCATAAGAAGAAATAACTTATAATTTATAATTATTCTTATGATAACTAGTTTCTTTAAATTTGTTTTCCTCTTCCAGGAGAGTGATATTTAATTCATCAACTGCTTCTTCAGTCAATTGTTTACTGGGCACTTACTATGGGGAAAATAACAATGACAGTAAAACTAATAATGTACCATGAATTATTCTGAAATTTTATATGCCTTATCATATTGAGCTACATAAGAGCTGAGGTGGGATTTTTTTTTTTTACTTCTGTTTTCCTACAACTTAGAGGAAGTTACAGAAAATCTAAAGATTATAAAGAAAGTGATAAATTTTGGACTTGAAATTTGGTCTATTTCAATGCAAGGGCCGTTGCCTCAATTCTTATTGCTTTGACGACAAGGCATTGTCCCTTTACTGAAATCCTGTCCAGTCTCCTCAACAAAGACTTATCTGGATAACATAGTACAAAGCCTAAAGCCTGAAGAATATATAGGATTTGTAGAAAGGATAATGAGCTCAGAGGAAGAAAACCGCTGGCTAGGAACATATGGCTTCAATTACCATGGCTGACAGAGAGGAATCAGAAAAAAACTTTCTCTCTATTCAAGCACTCTCCTTGGCGCAAATGGAATGAAAGGAGAATGGTATATTTTTATAATGGGGAAATACACTTAATCAATAAATTTATTATTCACTGACTACTAAAAATCATTGATCATGTGTCAAGATATAATTATCACCTTTTTGTAACCATGCCAGCCTTCCCCCACCCCTGCCTCAAAGCAGACAGAAAGTTTTGTTTCTCTTGGTTTCAGGATCAGCACATTTGGGGACAATAAATAGCACCTGGAATGTACTATTTATCCCACCCAGCCATGTTTTCAGTCAAGACTTGGAGAGTCATATAGGAACCTATGAGATCTGCCAGGAGGACTCAGGGAAAATCAAAGGCCTATGCCATGTTTCTCCAAACCCAAGAAATGTGGAGGTGAAAAATTCTTAATAAAGTAAAGACTATCAGGGGTAACTGTCAGAAAGAAAAGGATGGGAGGAACTAACAGAGTTTTTTAATGTATGGAGTGATAAATGGGTATATAGATCGCCAAAAGCATCAATTCAATATTAGGATTTTGAGCTTAGAAGTTGAACAACTAGAACTTGACTCTAATGTCATGACTCTGTGGTTAGACTTTTTGATTTGGAAGGACACGCTCTTGCACTTGGTATATTGGGGACCAAAATATTTGACTTAATTGCTGGTCCTGCCCACTAACTCATGCAGAAAACTCAGCATGAGCTAGTGAGATAAAGTTGTCATTATAAGCATAGTGGAGCAACTTATATCAGCATTATCCTATAGGTAACAATGATAAAACCTGGGTATATATTTTTAAAAAACAAAATTAAAGCCCTGGAGAGCGACTGAAAGGAGGCAGAAAATAATACAAGGCAGTCAATCCTTGAAAGAAATAGAAGGTAAGAGTTACTTTTATGACTGTTTCCCTATGGTTACTTAGCAGTCCATGCATTCTGAGTTATCTAGAACTCAAACAGTTGAATCAAGTTGAGTTGTCGGAAATCAGTGGCTGAAACTTCAGGATGGAAACCTCAGAAAGAAAAAACTACAAAGGAGAAATTCCAAATATGCATGTAAACTCCCTGAAATCTTTGCCTGAACCCTGAAATTCATATATTCATGGTAGGCCCCAGGGAGCCTGGAGGAAAGCAACAGCTGGAACCCTGGAAAAGTTGAATAGAGATTTTAGCTGCTGTCTGTCACAAGACAAAGGTTGGAATTTGAATGTCATATAGTTGGAAGGATCTGACAAACACTCTGTGTTTTCCAGTCAAACCTGAAAGGAATCCAGGACTAAGGATTTGCCCTAACTCTAAAGTATTGCCAAAACAGACTTTCCCAACTTGTGAGCTGATGTCTCCCCAAACAAGATAATCATTCCTTCAGCTTCCTGCTAGATCCAGAAAACACTCTTCTGTCTCTACAGTATATTATCCACACTTTCTAGTACACAATTGTTTAAAAAATAGACGTGCAAAGAAGTAGGAATATGTGACCCGTAGCCAAGAGAATAAGCAATAAGTAGAAACCCTGAGATTACCCAGATTAGAATTAACTGACAAAGATTTTAAAGAAAATATTGTAAATATTCAAAGATTTAAAGGGAACATGCCCATATTGAGGTATTACATAGGAAATATCAGCAGTGAAATGGAAACTATAAAATACCCTCAAGTGACTATTCTACTCTTTACTTCTATAATATAAACTTTTTTAGTTTCCACATAAAAGCGAGAATATGCAGTATTTGTCTCTCTGTGACTGATCTGTGTCCCATAACCTATTGTCCCCCAGGCTTATCCAGGCTGCCACAAATGATAGGATTTTATTCTTTTTTATGGCTGACTATAACTATAAATGGGTATATTTTATTTTTTGTCTTATATACATGTAAAAATGCAGACAAAATACCACAAAGGATGAGACAGGGAGAAGGCAGTAGGAGGAAATATACTATTGCAGTGTTCCTTTACAGAAAGTACTACAATATGTAAAGAAATTACAGTAAGGGTAAAAATTGTATTCCTGGAGGAATCGTTTAGAAATAGTGGCAAAAATTAGCTTAAAAGGCCTTTTTTTGAATTAGAATACTAAAAAATAGTGAATTAAGCTTTTAAAAATCAAGAAAGATTATTTCTCAGTCTTTTGGCTAAGATCAAGTGTAAAATGCAGGAAAGGATGAACAGGAGAATAAAAATAAATGGAGAAAATAAATACGTGGGGAAAATGGAAATTGAATAGCAAAACAGTAGACCTAACCACAACCACATTAATTATATTAAGTGTGAAGTTCTAAGCACTATAGTTAAAAGGCAAAGATTATCAGATTGCATGCTATGGAAGACCTAACCGTATTCTGTCTATAGTAGCCACATATAAAGACACAGGTAAATTAAATATAAAAAGAAGAGAATGACATACCATACAAGCATAAGCATCTAGTGAAGCTATATTAATAATTGACATATTAGACATCAAAAAGCGAGTATTTCCAATAAAAAAGAGACCATTTATAAGGATATAAGGTTTAGTTTACCAGGAACACATAGTAATCATAAGTAGATGCGCATGTGATAGGCGGAATAATATTCCGTTCCCCAAGATGTCTGCATCCTAATATCCAGGACTTATAAATATGTTAGATTAAATGGAAAAGGGGAACTAAGTTTACAGACAGAATCAAAGCTCTAAAGAAGGGAGTTTATACTGAATTTTCTGGATGGACCCAATGTAACCATGAAGGGAAAAGGGAGAGAAAAGAGGAGGCATGCGGACATTTAATTACAGAAGAGGAAGGTATAACGATCCAGTGTAA